CTGGCGGCGGCGGGGCACGTATGCGCAGTGGGACGACGGGGAAAGGGGGGCGGCTTGTGCGGCCCGGCGCCCCCGGCGCCCCAGCATTAATGACTCCATTAGCGGCCGGGAGGGAGGCGCATTAGCGGCGGCGACGGCGTCTGGCTCCCATTACCACCGGCGGCAGCGGCTACACCGCAGGCGGCTGGACCCTAGCCCGCCGCGCCGCCTCCTCCGCCCGCGCCCGGTCCCCTGTTTCTGCTCCCCACGGGGGCCCTGGCTAGGGACTCTCGCCCCACATTTCGGCGGCAAGCTGTGAAGCCAGGCAAACCTGGATTCATATCCTGATCGTGCTACCTCTTAACTGCAAAACCCTACGGCCCCCCTGAGCTTACTTCTTGTGGAGTAGTTGGGAAAACATAGTGCACCAGGGTTTTATAGCTCGGGATGAGTACCCTGAGCAGGCCGCACCCAGGCCCCGCCGGCACCCAGAGGCGCAGATTCCCGCGCCCCTGGGGGTAGGTCCCCGGGTCGGGCCTTCGACCTTCCCATTGGTCGCCGTGGCGCTTGGCGACTGCCGATTGGCCGAGATTTGCTCCCGTTTCTGCTCAATTAACCCCTGCGCGGCCGCGCCCTGGGGCTGGGTGGGGCCCCTCCCGCAGACTGCCCGGGTGCCAGCTGGCCCGCGCTCTGCCGCGGCCCGCGTGGGTGTCAGGCCGGCCGGGCTCCCGCCTGCCCTCCCAGCACAAAGCGGCTTTGTGGGGCCCGCCGGGGTCTGGCTAGAGGCCAGGCGGCGAGTGGAAAATCTCGTGAGCGCCGGGAGGGTAGTGCAGGGCGGCGCCCCCTCCTCTGTCCAGGCCTGGGCGCCTCCCTCAGCGCGCGCCGTAGCAGCCCCGGCGCCTGCACGACCCTCTTCTACCCCTCCTCCCTCACCCCTTCCCACCTCCAAGCTCACATCCCGCTCCCGCCGCCCGCATCCCACCCCTCTCCCTATCTCTAGAGACCCTCCCCCATACCTCTCCCCTGCCTCTTTTCCTCCTGGTCGTCCTGCCTACCCCAGCCCCACTCTAACTGACTCACTCTGGCGCTATTTTTAGCCCCCCATCCTTCCCGAGCAGCGCCAGCCCAATCCTGGGCTCGTTCCCCAGGCAACCCTGGCCGTCGCCGACGCCGCCCCCCCGGGTTGGGTGGGTGGGGGGGTGTGTATGTGGAAAGCGGGTGAGGGGAGCTGGGGACACAGGGGTGGGGAGCTAGGGCGGGGACCTGGGCTTAGAGAGCGGGTGGGGAGCCCGGGTGGCAGGGGAGCGGTGCCTCCTGGGCTTAATAAACGGGCCCTGAGTTCAGAGCGTGTCTGCCTGTCCCTCAATCTGTCAGCATCCCTGGCTGCACGCCCTGGGCCTCTGGGCAGGTCTCAGCCTGCGCTGCCCGGGTGGCTGTCAGTATCTCTGTCTGGGCTCCCTGTCCCCAGGCCTGGGTGGGGTGGTGCAGTGCACTGGGGATTGTTTTGAGCCAAACCTTTGGTGGAGTTGGTGAGGGTGCTGGAGGTGGCCACTGCTGCAGCTGGGCCCAGTACCTGCCTTGAGTGAAAGATGGTGCTGCTCTTCCCCCCTCCCAGGTGAGGTGGGGCCTTGGTTTGGGGAACCCCATGAGCCTTTTCCAACTGTGGAGGCCCCAGGTGGGGGATGACTGGAAAGAGACTGTCCCCTCCACTCTTAATCACCCCCACCTGGGGTTCCTCCATCTCAAACAATGGAAGCTAAGTATAGGGCTGGCCCAGCGCCCGGGGCAGGGGGGCCCTTTCCCGCCCGGATTTTCACCCCTCCCTGCCAGGCAGGGCCCCCACTTGGCTGTCCTGCCCTGAAAGGGGCCTCTTCCCATCCCTCCTCCATGGGCACTGTGTCTTCCACCAGATGTGTAACTCTCCCAGATGTGTGGGGCGCTCTCTTTCTGCGGTTGCCAGGCCTGGCTCTTTTTCTCACCCAACAGAAGTTGGCCACCTGGGGGTGGGGCCCCTCTGAGCTCTGTCCCTGGGCTGCACTGCAGTGGGGAAGGGGTTAACTTGCCAGTAGGTGACTCACCGGTGGGGAGAGGAGGGGGGTAGTGGTGGGGAGATAGCCGCCACATTGATTTCTGCCTCGATTTCTGCCTCACGTTGCAGTCCCTGGGGCAGTGAGGTAATGGAGGGTCTGAGTCTAGGGCTGCATCAGGAGGAGGGGGCAGTCACCTAATAGTCCCTAGAGTGGCCCCTCAGGCTCACAGCCAAGAGTCTGGCCCTGCAGTCTCTGGAGGTCAGCGGGCTATAGACCTCCCTTTCCTTGCCAGGGTTCAGGTTACCTGGCTTTTGCTTTCGCAGCCTTGCCCTGGGCTTCATCACTGGATGAGGCAAGCTGGGGTTATCTGCTCCTGGCCTGGACCCCACCTGTGTTGGAGCCCCAGTCTTGGTCCATCGGAATCTGTTTGACTTTACCTGTCCAGGTGTTACCTTAGGCCCCTGCCTGTACTCAGTGCCTTCTTGGGACCCACATCCAGGGCCTCTGCATCTTTGCCTGCTGGTCCCCAGACCCTTGCCTGTGCCTGTGTTTGTGTTCCTGACCTTTCTGTAGTTTTCCAGTCTCTCTGTATCATTGTCTGACCTTATTCCTGAGCCTCTGTTTGGCAGTCCCTGCCTGGGCCCACCCTGAGGTTAGTTACTGAGTAGTGGAAGGAGCTCTTGGGTTGGAGGGCTGGGCTGTTACATCCTGGCTGCAGGATTCTGCACAGTTTGTTCAATCCTTGGGAGCCTCATTTTCTCATCTAAACAATGGGCATAAGGAAACTTACCTCCCTAGGTGGCTGTGTGATTCAGTGAGCACATGCAGCTAGCACATAGCAGCCAGAGTAAGTGTTAGTTTCCTTTCTTCCTCTTGGCCCTCTTCAGGGGGAGGGGAGAATGTTGACTCCCTGGGCAGAGTTGTGGTAGGCCAACTGTGGTGGCACTCTGTGACCCCCTGCACTGCTAGATGCTGATCCCAGGTGGTTGATGAGTGTCAGGCTGGGTAGCTGAAGGACAGTGGCCTGCCCTGAGGCTCGGTATACCTGATGGATCTGGGTACAGCAGTAGTTAGGGCCTGTGAAGATCAGTTTATAGTGTGTGGGATCAGTATGGTGGTTCATCTGTGAAAGTTAATGTGTGTTGGGGATTGGGGGTACTGTGTATCAGGAAGGCTGTATGTGTGTGTAAAGATGGAAGAATATGTGTGTGGGAAGCATGTGGGACGTGGGGTGGGGAATGGCAGTGGTTGTGATGTGTGTGACATAATTCTGCTTTGAAATATGTTATGTTTGTGTGTGTGTGTATGGTGATTCATGTGGAGCTGATGGATGTGTGATGAGTGTATGTGTTGGTGGAGCATGTATGACAAGGAGATGCGGGTGGAGTTGGGTGAGAATGAGTGTGTACAATGTTTGAGGTAGTACACATGTGTGAGCATCTGTGTGAGAATAGTGTGTGACTGTGTGATAGTGTAGGTGTAAGACTGCTGGGTGTATGTGGGGGTGTTTATGAGGTATGTGTGTGACAGGAACGGCCAGTGGTCCCTCAGTATCCCTGGGGGTTTTGTTCCATGACCTGAGGATACCAAAACCGGTAGATGCTCAAGTATAAAACGGTGTAGTATTTGCATATAACCTATGAACACTCTCCCGTATACTTTAAATTATCTCTAGATTACTTGTAACACCTAATGCAATGCCTATGCTCTGCAAATAGCACTTTAAGCTCCCTCTTAGCCTTTGAAGGATTGCTTTGACCGCTTACTTGCTCGCTCGCCCCCGCCCCAATGTTTTCGATCCGCAGTTGTTTGAATCCGCGGATGCGGAACCCGCGGATACTGAGGGCTCAACGTATGCCTATGAGCAGTATGTGTGTGATCGTGCTGCTGTTGAGAGTTCGTGAGGGTTCAGGGGTGGCTCGCCCAACCCTTAATGCCATTGTCTGTCCTGCCGGCCGTGCGCGCCCAGGCGGGCGAGACGGAGGCAGGTCGAGCCTCGCGGCGCGTGAGCGTGTTCCTCGCGCGGGCTGGACACACACCACCACACACAACCCCGGGGGCCTCCGCAGCGCAGCGCCCCGAACCGCCCTCCCTGGCTCGGTGCCTTTACTGCAGTGCGCCCTCCCTGCCACCCTCCTTCTGCGGTCCCGCCCCCGGCCGGCTTGGGGCCAACCGGAGTCCGCCCCGCCCTGCCCTTATTTGCATATGACTGACGTTCCCCCGGGGCGGCCAATGGGGGCGGGCGCGGCGGGGCCTGACCCGCGCGCGGCGGCGACAGCCAATGGGCTCTTGCGCGGGGGGCCGGGTTTGCGCGGAAGGCCGCGGGGGAAGCGGGGAAGGGGCGGGGGAAGG